ACAACACATTTTATTATTCTAAAATCAGGAGGACTTTTATTTACATAATCTTAGTAACACTTATTTTATTTAAGAAATCTTCTTAAACGGGAGTAAAAAAAATATTTGAAAACAACAAAATAAAAATCCTAGAGTATAATGGCAATATGATGTAAGAATACATGTTGACAACGGGAGTAAAAAAAATATTTGAAAACAACAGTGTAATATGTTAGTTTGACTAGTCAACCGTTGGCGATCTGTATCGGCACTCTGGTTGTTCAGCAACGACAGATGTCAGTGTGGCGGGGATAGTGTCGTAGTTATAATGTGACAATGCGGTGGGTGTGACAATGTAACAATAATAATGTGAACTCCTATTTTGATTTTAAAAGATTTATTACTCCTATTATTTTGGTATTTTCATAATTTTGTACGCATATCTAGATAGTTCTCCCATCTTCACATCATATAGATTCAGTAATAATTCATCAATCACGTCTCACTTTTAGTTATAAAATGGAAATTATTTTTGAAAAAAATCAACCCAAAAAAATATTGAGCTTAAGATGAAGAGATATACTCCGTATGAACATACCAGGAACAGGAAAAACAGAATCTCCATGTTGAAGAAGATGGACTACAAATAGAGAGAAAAGTGCGCTGAAAGGGCGCATAACGACGGAAGGGAGACGGAGAAGAGAAGCCACGTGGCCAGCATAGTACATGAGATTGTCATAGATGACGCAACGGACGTCGTCACCCATTGTCTCCAAATACTCCCGAAGGGGTACCCTACAATTCTCATTCATGGCACAGATGGATTTCAGCCTTTGGGCCATTTCGATTGGAATATCATCTCCCTCTGCTAAGTTGTGGAAGGAGAAGTTTGGGTGGTGGGAAGGGGTGGGGGGGTTGAATTGGGTGTGGGCAATTTTGACGGAGAAGCCCTTCGAGTGAAGGGCGTGTCCTAGTTGCAGCATAGGGGTCATGTGCCCTTGGAAAGGGTATGGCACCAGAACCACTACTCTTTCTTCTTCCCTTTCATCAACTCCACTCTCCATTTTTGACCTTTCCATCTTCCTAATTAAGTATATATATCCGCCGGAGCACAAGCTTTTGTGTATAGGAAATTAATTACATATGCTTTATATATACGGAGTATATATATACATACAGCAAGGTAGCCTTGTTACACGCACTGTTGTAATTAATTAAGACTCAGTGGCGTCTAGAATAAGAAGGACAGATAATCATAAAGGCTAAAGCTAGAAGGATGATAATTAATCAGCACAGGAATTCATCCCAAATGAAAGTAGCTTAGCTTGCTAGCCTTTTTGACATTGTCTATCCTCCTTTTCCTTGATTTTGGCTCTCTCATCTTCTTTCTCCCTCACCCTCCTCTTAATTCCTTCACATCTTTTTTTAATTAAATTTGGTGATAGTCAGATTCAAATTCGTGAAATTAAATCCATAAATCAAACAAAAAAAAGCTAGAAATTTTCTTAGAGTGATTCTCAAAATAGTATTCAATAAGTAAATGTTTCTCCAAATTAGTCTCCAAGATGAATTAATTACCGAGATGGTACTCGTTAATTAAGAAGAATGCTCAGTTTAGGCTCCGTTCCGTTCAACTTATTTTTCCTGATCTGATCTGATTTTAATAAGTTCTGATCTGATCTGATCTGATTGATTCTGATCTGATCTGATTGGATCTGATCTGATCTGATCTGATTTGATCTGATTTGATCTGATCTGATCTGATTAATTATGATTTAATTTAAAATTTCAAATCAATAATTTGATTTGACTTTATAATAACGTTTGAAAATTGTAATGATAATTCATATTATAATATAATCAATATTTTTTATTTAATGATTATTTTTTAATAAAATATAAATAGTTAATTCATATATTAGAATAATCATTCATATTATAATGTAATAATATTTTTAATTTTATGATTATTTTTTTGTGAAATTAGAATATTATTTTAATATTTTAATAATTACTTCATATATACATTAGAATAAATATTTAATTTAGATATACATTAAAAAGTAATTAAATTTAGATAATCAATATATAGAAGAGATAGTATTTTTATTAAANAAATAGTTAATTCATATATTAGAATAATCATTCATATTATAATGTAATAATATTTTTAATTTTATGATTATTTTTTTGTGAAATTAGAATATTATTTTAATATTTTAATAATTACTTCATATATACATTAGAATAAATATTTAATTTAGATATACATTAAAAAGTAATTAAATTTAGATAATCAATATATAGAAGAGATAGTATTTTTATTAAATATCTCATCCTCATAAAAGATCAAAACGTTAGAAACTCAAATTACAAGTAGCAATAAAAATATACTCCGTATTTTAAAAGTAGAATTAGATTGACATTGTCATTTTTAACAACAACAACAACAACAACAACAACAATAATAATAATAATAATAACAATAATAATAATAATAATAATAATAATAATAATAATAATAATAATTCTTGATGGGATCTGACTTTAAGAATTCCTGATCTGATCTGATCTGATTGGATCTGATCTGATCTGATCTGATTCGATCTGATATAATCTGATCTGATCTGATTCGATCTGATCTGATCTGATTTGGTCTGATCTGATCTGATCTGATTTTAATAAGAATAAGAAAAAATAAGAAAAAATAAGTTGAACGGAACGGGGCCTTAGCCCCCTTAACTAACGGTCCTCAAAACAATGTTAACACTTATACTAATTTCCCAAAATGATCTTTTCTAATGTGTGTTTTCTCAAATTCGAAGTAACAAATATAATAAATAAAACTTTATATATAATTTTATAAATTTGAAGCAAATATTTAATTTTTTTACAGTGATTTTGAAAAATGTCATGTAAATAAAATATTTAATGAATGTTATCTATTTGTTTCCCTAGTTTTGAAATAACTTTGACGAAGCATCATAAATCAAAACATGAATTTTATTCTAGAAGGAATAGAATCATTTAGTAAATATTTTAATTAGAAAACATTTTTCTAAATATTAAACAATCTGAAACGTTTTTTATTATTAAATACTAATATTTATTATTTTATTTAATATATTCTCATCTTATAAAATTTAAAATTATATTTTCATATTGAATGAATTTTATTTTGAACAAAGACTAATTTGAGAAAACATCCAATTAAAAAGGTCAATTTTAGGAAATTTGTATAAGGTTTAACGTCGTTTTGATCCCATTTTGAAGGTTGTTAGATGTTTGTAAGATTAAACAGAGCATTATTTTCAATTAACAAGTATCATCTTGATAATTATATTTTTTCCGATATTAATATTGAAAACACACATATCCACTCATTTTCTTAAATCCAAATAAAAGTTGGAACACACAATTGAAATTAAAAATTGATATGAAAGAATCATTTCGATGAAACAACCCAGACCTTTGTTTTGTTGTTGCTCTTACTTCCCACTTCCCACTTTCCCAGTGGTGAGTGGATGCCATAATACTTATGTGATGAAGGCCGAATTAATAGGATAGAAATACTTGAGCTTAGGTAAGTGGGTTACAGATTGATTTTAAGTATTTCCATAGGGGGCACTACAAGATTTTGCATCATCCCCACCAATTGCACATTTGCACTAACTGACTAACCCCACAATCCCCCTCCAGATGCACTCCGGTGCCCCGTTCATAAAATTGACACTTTCTACCATATTCCTCCGATTAATCCATTCTATTTTTACGAACTGGGCACCAGAGCGCCCCCAGGTCATCCAATGACATTGTCGGGCAATGTCATGGAAACCGTCCCCAAAAAATATATATTTTCACTGGGGGGCCCATAAGCAATGACTGAATCCGCCCCTGGGTGGATAGTTCTGCCCAAATTAAAATATATGGATTTTGAGATACCGCTTCCCAAAAGTAGTTTAAGATAATAAGATTAGATTAAAAGCTGAATTTATTCAAAATCGTCTTTAACACTATCTATCTACCTCTTTAGAGCATGTGCAATGGCAAGTAAAAGAGATGCCTTGCACTGCCACGTCATCTTCTTCCATGCATATCATGGTATGACAAACCCAAAATGCCTTGCTTGGTGAGGTATGAGTGTGGCACTTCATCATTCTTTTTTTATTTTTTAAAAATAATTTTTTTAATTTATTTTTTTGAAAAAAATGTACAAGAAAGTAGAATAATTTTTTAATAAAATAAATAAATAAAATATTTTTTTTATGTTTAAAAACCATAAAAAAATGTAAAAAAGTGATAAAAAATAATGACTTGCCATTGTAGGACTTGCCACTCCATTCACTTGCCACACGCTGACTGGACTATTTTTTATTGATTAAAATATTCCATGTCACGGTGTGGCATTCTATTTTCGTCTTGCCATTGTTGATGCTCTTACAAAAGCAAGAGGATTATTTTCCCGCCTAAACTTCTGGGCCTAAAATGCAATAATGGGATGATTTTATCTAGACATTATGTTGGGCAAAAACTATTACGGTTGCTGAAGCCCGTTATTTTTTTGAAGGCCATTATTAAAAACTGCAACTTCCCACAGCCCAACAATTATATAAGTCCAAATGTCCAATTGCAGCACATAGAGTAGAGGCCCAGAGGTGGACTCGGAGTATCCCAAAACCCAAATTAGCTATGATTCCCCAAATCGTGGGAATGAGGGGAGTTGATGACTAATTCCCTGCTACGATTGACGCATGATTGGTAAAAGTATATTATAAATAGGGGACAAACCCTTCATTGTAAGGCAGACTGAATATAGCTTATTATACTCCCTCCGTCCCAATTTATTTGCAACACTTCGAACGACGTGCAAAATATCATCTCTTTTAAAATTACTTTAATTTCAAATTGGTATAGTAATAAAAAGTAAAAATTACACCATTTAAAAGTATATGAAAAGCTCTACAAAACAAGATGCGACAAGAATATTTTATTTTATCAAATGGTCAACCAAAACGAGTAAACAAACAAAAGTTATCGAGGGGCCAGAATAGTAAACGTGACATTCTTTCTGGGACGGAGGAATACCAGAGTTCTTATTTCCCATATTGTTATTCTTTTGTTCTTAGGACGCTATAATTGTGAGGCTAAATCCATCATTGTCAAATAGACATTCAAATGCGGTAATACGCAAACCATACTAATTTAGTCTCTTTTTAAAAATAGAAGGGGCAGAAACAAAAGGAGAACATATTATACTCGAGAGTAATTATTATCAATCAATATTATTCTTGAGAGAGAGTTTTTTTTAATTAAACACCACTCCATTTGTCTCAAAATGAAGATCACAAGTAGCTAGCTAGTAGGTGGTAGGGAGTGGTGAAGATGGATTGAATGCATCAATGAAGTGAACCAGTTCGTCTAAAGCTCTCCGAGAAGACCCGCCTTCCCCAACCGCATCATCTATCTCCCTCTTCAGCTCCGCCACTCTCTCCCTCACCTCCTCCCCTTCCTTCCCCATCACTCTCCTTATCGCCCTCTCCACGCCGCCTCTCTCCGCCCCCTCCTCCAGCTCCACCCCCACCTTCACCTCCCGGCTCAGGTGCTGGCTGTTCACGAACTGGTCTGCGTATATCGGCCTGCAAATCATCGGCACGCCCCCGCATATGCTCTCCATGGCCGAGCCCCACCCGGCGTGCGTCAGGTACACCGCCACCGAGGGGTGCCCCAGAACCGCCTTCTGCGGCGCCCACCTCACCAGCTTCCCCCTCTCTCCCACCTTCTCTCTGAACCCTTCCGGCATAAGGTCCTCCACCTTGTTACATACACATCACACATTTCATTCATTATTAGTTTCATCGCAGCTAAATAGTACTCCCTCCGTCCCATAAAAATTGGACGGTTTGACTAAAGTGGTAAAATAAGGAGGGATGATTTTGTGTTGACTTTTCAAAAATACCTTTGATGTGATGCGTAAAAATAGGATGTGATGAGTAGATAGATTATTAGAAAAAAAGTATGATGTGATAGGTAAGATACGAAAAAGTAAGGGATAAAAGTGGTTTTTTAATAGAAATGGACGGACTTTAAGGGACCCAAATTTTTCAAAACGGGACTAATTTTATGGGACGGAAGGAGTTAGTTATTACGGAGTAGAATTTTTCCTGGGTCACTATCATAAATATGAGCTTTTGGTTGAATTGATTCTTTGACATGTTAGCATCGCTCGAGATTTTTTTAAAAACAGTAATGTTCTGCTTGAGCTAAAAACGACAAGCTTGAGCTTTTAGTTGAATTGATTCTTTAGTAGTAGTAGTAGTAAATAATGGAATTTGATTGAAACTCACGGTGCCTTGTGATGAGCTGGGGAGGAGAGCCCATAGGAAGGGGTAGCCGCAGTTGGCCAAGCCCCAAGCCATCTCCGTCACCTCCTTTCCGCCGTCGAGCGGCAAGCTTCCGCAGCTGACATAGACGACGGAGCGAGGAGGATGGGTGTCGAGCCAGGCGAGACAGGCGGAGTCCTCTTCATGGAGACTGCAAGAGGAGGAGAAGTCGGGAGGAGCGAGCTTGTGGAGAGGGCCAATGGCGAAGTAGGGGATCTTGGTGGGCCGTTGATGAGGCGGCTGTGCCAGGACGGAGTGGTCCAGGCAGTCCGCCGTGTTCCAGATGCACCCCACCGACGGATGCGCGTCGTACAGGTTCTGTAGATATTGCAGTGACTTTGCATCTCTTTGAAGCGTCGGCGGCTCATCTGCATGCAATTTCACATTACACTTTTTCACTATTAATCTATCAATCACATCCAAGCTAAGAGCATTTTCAGGAGGAGTAAGTGTTAAGAAATAGAGAGACAAACCTTGTGGTTTAGCATCTTCTCGAGAGCCATGGGTAAGAGCCAAGGCAATGTGTTGCAAAATGGCGGCACAGTGTGGGCGCAATACGATGCTGGGAATGTCCAGACGGGCCGCCACTTCTCTCGCAAAGAACATATTATTGTCATAAATGACGCACTTAATCCTCTCCCCCTCATCATCCTTATTACTATGTTGTTTTTCCAACCGTCCAGCGAGGTACTTCTCCAGCGACGCCCTGCAGTTCTCCTGCATGGTCGCGAAGAACTTCTCCGGCGGGATGCTGCCGCCTCTTGACGAGGACAGGCCGCCGTCGTGGAGGGCGTGGAAGAGGAAGTTGGGGTGGCTTTTGGGGTTGGGGGATTGGAATTGGGTGTGGGCGATGAGGATGGAGAATCCCCTGTTGTGAAGGACAGACCCCAGTTGGAGCATCGGCGTGAGGTGGCCCTGGAAGGGGTAAGGCACCAGCACCGCCACCCCCCTGCGGCGGTGGTCTGCTTCTCCGCTGCCTTGCTCCGCCGCCGCCATTATTCTTTCGATCAGTTATGTTGTTGCTGATTAGTGCGTGGTTGGTCGCCCATTTATATTATATACCCCCCCTAGTATATATATACGTCCCTTCTGATTCAAAAAGGCCCCATTAATAAATTTTGAAAGGAAAAGATGTCCTTAATTGTCCTTTAACTTGCTAGGGTGAGTAGTTAGTACGTATAGAGTAGATTTTAGCATTGTGGTGAGAGTTAGTATTGGGTCACATAACTCACATTTTAGTGTACCTATATGGCTATAAAGTTTACTATCTAATCTTTACACCCAAAAAAGATTAATAATCTCAAGGAATATACTACCTCCGTCCCAAAAAGATTTACACATTTTGATTAAAGTGAAAATTAAAGGAGCTAGGGGATAATTTTGTGTTGACTTTTCAAAAATACCCTAGATGTGATGGGTAAAAGTAGGATGTGATGTGTAGATTATTAGGAAAAAGGTATGATGTGATAGGTATGTTTTGAAAAAGTAAGGGGTAAAAGTGGTTTTTTAATAGAAATGAGTAGGAGATTGTGGGACGCAATTTTTTTGAAAGGTGTAAATTTTTTTGGGACGGAGGGAGTATAAAAAAAGAAATTCCTGGTCAAGGATCTTGAAAGGAAAAGAAAAGAAAATGAATTTCTCTTATTTTCCTCACCAAGATGGAAGAAATTAGGTTGGCAAATTTACCTAAATAGGACTAAAACATAATGACTTTCTCAATATAGAATCATATGTTTTTATTTTCCAATGTAGGACCATTGGTCATTATCCATTAGTCATTATTCAACTAAATGTCCAGCATTACTTGGACATTATTCTTCTCAATAGTCATTATTAAGTCCTATTTAGAGAATAAAAAAGTTTATGTCCTACATTAGGAAATGACTTATATGTTTTAGTCTTATTCAGTGCAAATTTTACAATTTGGTTTTCCTCTTAACAATTTTACCTTCTCATTTCTTTTCATTCCTCTCAAACCAAATATGAAAAACTATTTAACCTCTCATTTTCTTTAATTTTCCCTTTCAAATTTCTTGAATCAAACATAGTGGTAAAGATATTGTGAAAATATGATTCAAGAATGTTGAACCTCCATTGTTGATAAAATGATAAAGCTCGTTCCAAAAACAGACTTCTTATTTCTCGTTTGAGACGCGCGTTATAAGAACGTATAGTGTTGTCTTTGCTATACGCAGGTGGGCATAATGAACCTGGAGCCTATCCCAGAAGGACACGAGAGTGAAGAGATGTATGAATGGGGGTTGTGGATTCCTGCAGCTTTTCCTTAAATATAATTACTTTGAAACGTTTTGGGTTGGGCTCTCTAGCCCAATATTTCCTTTATCTTGGTGTCCTCCAAGACTTAGTACTTTCACTTCTTGGACTTGGTCTCAAGCTAGACTCGGCCCAAACTTTTCTTATCTCGTATGGACTGAGTCTTCTACTCTAATGGGCTTTTATGGGTTATCTGGCTATACCTTAGATCCGGCCCACTTATTACTTGATATATATACATATGTATACATACATATATATACACGCGCGCACACACACACAGATATATATATATATATATATATATATATATATATATATATATATATATATATATATATATATATCTGTGTGTATGTATATGTATATGTATGTATGTATATGTATATATATATGTATGTGTGTGTGTGTGTGTATATATATATACATACATACATACATACATACATACATACATACATACATACATATATATGTATGTATGTATGTATGTATAAAACCTTAGCTTAATGGTATATATATTTATATGTTTGAGAATTTGAATTTAGATAGACTTAGAGTTTATATTTGATGCAAATCACTTTTCTGAGGGTTCAAAGAAATTTTATTTCGATTTGGAGGGGGCTTGGGGTGGGGATGGGCTGTGGCGGGGGGTTTACAGGGTGGGTTAGGATTGGTAGGAACCATCAATTTTCCGAACGGAGTATTGGATGTGCTCCAAAAATATAGTTGCACCGTTGACCAGTGTCAACGGAACTCTACTCATAGTAGAATAACAATTATAGAAGCAATCAAATAAAGAAAGTAATTAATAAAAATATTTTATTTCATATTATTTCTATATTTCTTATAGGAGTAAAAGTGATTTTTTAAATAAAGAGAAGAAACAGATTGGGAAACACAAAAAAAAAGGAAGGACAAATAATTTATGAGGCAGAGGAAGTAGATATCAACCCGCTTCTGTCTCCGTCTTGACCGACATCAAAATTCAAATTCTGAAAACGAAATCATATGAATTTCCAAACAAAATTGAGATTCGAAATCATGGGGTTTCAAAATGAGTAAACTTTGACCTCAAATTTAATAAAAATTACATTAGATATTGATACAAAAATAGTTTTATTAGATGTATTATATCAAATATTTTCAAAATATTATTTTATCTAATTAATAAATAATATATATTTTATTTAATTATAGGTCAAATGTTGAAAATAATGATCGAAAAAAGTCAAAACTGAACAAATACTCAGGGACAAAGGTAATATTAGAATTGAAATCTAAAATTTCAAATTAATTCTAGTTCTCAAACATTAGTTAAAAGAGTTTCAATTTGATATATTACGGAGTATTAACTATCGTTTTAGCAAAGTTAGTGTATTGTTGAAAAAACAAAATCAAAATAAACTCCGTATAGTTTAATTCGGTAGAATAAATAATCCTCTTTTTTTTTCTCGTCACGTTATGAACCGTACCCTTAAATCCTCCCGACCGAAGTATTTTATTGGTAGAGTCTTTGGGAGTATCAGTGTCGCTACTAATTAATCATTTTCAGGAAATAATTTTGTTGTTAGAGTCCTATCTTTACGCCTGATTAGCTCTTTGATCATTGTTAGAACTCTAATCTTTTTATAAGTTAAACAAAACCTACTTTAAGAAATGCATTGCTCTATTTTTTTTCTTGGGAGTCTTCATGCATATCCAATAGTAGTCCACGCACAAAGATCCCAAACGATGAACAAGAGAAAAAATCGGGAAAAGGACAGCGGTGAGGATAACGGCGGCGGCGGCGGCCGCGGAGGAGACATGTTGTGCCTCACCTTGGCGTGCAAAGGGCTGGGATCTCCCCAGCCGCAACCCTTCATCCTCCCGCCGCCTCAGCCTGCAGCGCAGGCGGCGGTTTCGCCGCCGGCGCAGGGTCAGGAGCAACCGCTGGCGGCTCCGTTCCGGCAAGTGCGCCAGCGGCGGCGGAACTCGTCGCAGGGCCCGCGGGAGGGGAAGAGCGAGACGATAGCTCCCCCGTTCTCGTGGGCCACGGAGCGGCGAGCGACCGTGCAACCCCTGAGTGAGTTACTCTCCCGGGGAATATCGGTGATCACGGGGGAGGTGCAGTGCAAGCGGTGCGAGCACGCGTACGAGATGGAGTTCGACCTGGAGAAGAAGTTCTACGAGGTCGGGAACTTCATAAGGGACCACAAAACCGACATGCACGAGCGGGCCCCGGAGGTATGGAGGAACCCTGTCCTCCCGGCCTGCAAGTTCTGCGACCAGGAGAACAGTGCGAAACCAGTCATCGCCAGCAGCAAAAAGGCCATAAACTGGCTGTTTTTGCTGCTGGGACAATTGCTGGGTTGTTGCACCCTGGAGCAGTTGAGGTATTTCTGTAAACACACAAAGAACCACAGAACGGGGGCAAAGGATAGGGTGCTCTACCTCACATATCTCAATCTGTGTAAGCAGCTTGACCCCGCCGGACCTTTTGATCGTTGCTAGTATTATGTTGATGGGTTTATTGTTTTATTTTATTAATGCATGGTTTTAGATGAGATTATTGATTATGGTCTTGTTTGTAATCAAATTAAATGATTAACGTTTATAGTTTTGAATTTGTTGTTGTTTGGGTAACTTTTCGTAAATGACAAACGTAAATTCAAAAGATGGCGATATGAGTCCAACGTTGAATTGATGGATTCATGCATTTCTTGATTTTTGGAGGTTGCTTGCATTAAAGGAATTCATAAAATACACTAATATCACTTTTTATATATATCCGGAATATTAGATTTTGAATGAATATAGACTAATACTATATCTACATTCATTTGATTATAAATGTTCTATGTATTCAGCAAGTCAAACTACGTATCTCGTAAATAGGGGGTAGAATAGGCTTTTGTTTATAATAACACCAGAGAGCAATATTTGTCTCCAAATATCTTTTTTGGTGCCCATCAATTTTAGTGTTCGATCACCAAGAATCTTCATTGGGGTATAGTCCTCTTTTGTAGGAATTTGTTATCAAATAGAACCTGGTTTTTATGCGAGTTTGTTGTAAAGTAGAATTCGAATTTGTCTCAATAAGGCTAATTGATTGCTATCCTATTTTTACTAAAACTGGTATTTTCTCCTGCTGTGCAATTGCACGGTTAATTGTGAGAATATCACTGAAATATGCAATATATAATTGCGAGAACACACTAAAATACGAGGAGCAACATATAAGAACCTAGTAAGTTTCCACGAGTGATGAGCAACATATGAATTATGAAGGCCTTATTTGGGAAGAGCGTTTTCAATTAGCGTTAGCGTTTTGGATAAAATATTAACGGTGTAGATTAATTCAAAAAACGCTAACCCTAAAGTCTACCGTCAGATAGCCTTTTCAAAACGCTAACGCTAAGGCCGAAGAGGTGTGCTACGGCACTCGAGAAGGAAATTAAAAACCATCCCAAACAACAACAATGACAACTCAGTAATATCTCATACCAACATTGTTAGGGTCTGGGAGTTAAGTTGTACCAACTTTACCCCTGCATTATAAATAGCAGAGGCTCTTTTTTTTTTTTTGAAAATTATTACTTTCAAGTTTTATAACATACAATTCTAGACACATGACTCTTGAGTCCTATCACATAGAAGCCCCCATCTTCTATATATATAGTTTTAGGCAGGTCACAGTGAGACCTCAGTAATAAACTGACCCTGCAACAATTAAAAAAGATGCAAATGTATTTATATCCCAAACAGTTTCTCATGAAATTCTACAAAATTCTCGAACAGACACAAACCATACCATCCCACCAGTTTGCTCCTGGGACACTCTGTGAGCTTTTTTCGTTGGGGTCATATTCCTTATCATACTAGAGGCATTCAAAGGATCAAAAAGTGGTCAGCACCATCGTGTTTGATAATTTAATTAAGGGTTAAATATGTTTTTGGTCTATGTAAAATGAGCGATCTCTAATCAACTCTTTTAGCACCACCAAAAGTCAGCTCATTTTATAGGGACCCAAAATATATTTAACTCTTTAATTAATCAATACATAGATGAAAAACACACGGTAGGGTTTTCTACTAACATGCTCACCTTAGAACATGATTGTGCACCTGTTGACTTGATATACATGTCCTCTTGAGCTCCATAGTACAGTGATGAACTCAATGGGGAAGCGTCTGGTCTGTCCTGGAATATCGTGCCCCATTCCCCGCTGTTAGCCACACCATCTGCTCACAAAAACAATCACAAGTTATTTTTCTTGTGCCAATCTTGGGTTTTGCTGGAAATAGTTCATCAAACTACAATGTGAAAAAAATGTGCATGAAAGTGATGAAACTTCTAGTCTGGTGAATATGAATATGTCTTATAGAGCATTGGGCAAAACAAGTTTTGATGGACACTATGACAAATCTATGTGATATTAGATATATACACGAACTTGATCTAGAGTACGAAAGAACACAGAAATCTTATGTAGCCAAAAACAATTTAAACAGCAGCACTTCTCCCAAAATTACAGTAAATCTCCACCTGCATTTTGGTGAGAAACAGAACGAAAAGGTATAAACTACAAAAGATGGCACATACCCGAAATCTTTTTCTTCCATGTTTGACATTGACTTTCATATATCTGCTTGTCAAGGGACTCAATCAGGTCTGAAGATGGAGTTTTCTTCCCCACCTGTAACTCCATAATACATTCAATCACACTCTTATACCTAAAAAACTTATGTTTAAATATGCATTCACAAATTTACATCATGCGTTGTTGCCCAAATGCAATTTTAGAAGTTAGAACATCGTATTATAGGGCAGTCCGGAGCAGAAATATTGTCACATCGTATTAAAGGGAATCCCGATGCGGCGATGCACAAAGCAGTATGATATTGTCTACTTTGGACCACACATATTTGTTTTTAGACACCTCCCAAATGGCAGCCTCTGAGCCTCGTACTAATGGAGTTAGGATGAACCTTTTTATTTTGCTCTAATTTTTCTTCTACTTCAATTCAACTGTGGGATTGGTTTGCTACACAACAATACATGTATGGACGACTAAGTTTCATCAGTTGATTTTGTCACACAAAAAGTAAGGTTCATCTGTTATCCAGAATCAATGATTCAACACAATCTGGTTCAAAAATTTAAATTGCCAGCCCTAATAAGAAATTGGGTAGGGTTCCCATTCTAATATAGTCGAATTGCTCTAGGTTAAATGCTATGATGTCCTCAAAATTGAATTGTGGGACTTTCTACATTGAATTGAACACATAAACCCACACAACAATCAACAAACATGCCGTACAATCGACCGAAACCACATGAGAATTCGCTCTAAAACCGATAAATTCACGAGAGGGAGAGAGAGAGAGACGTACAGCGGGCGGAGGAGGGAAGAGTAAGGTGAAAATCTCGGGAGAGCTTGACGGCTGGGATGAATCCTTTGAAGCTGAGAGATCTTCAGTTAACGAAGAAGATGAACCGACTTGCTCCTTGGAAGTTTCCATTTACCTGTGTTGAAGATGGAGAATTGAAGGGGAGAGGATCATGACAGGGGAGAAGAGAGCGCTGGTTGTTTAAACAGTCATTGTTTAAGAGAGAAAAGAAGATAAGATCGGCACGTGAGATACTGCTAGTAGTGAGACCCAAAGCTGACACACTGGGAGCAGAAGATGATGTGGATGGGGGGGAAGAATAGAGAATAATTAGAAAGGGGAAGGGAATGATTAGAGAATGATGATGAAAAATGAAGGATTAAGTGATTTAATATTAAAAGTACATGATGTGGAGGACGAATATCGAAAATGAGTAGTGATGCTCTGACGCGTAAGGTATTGCCACATGGGTGTGGATGAGGTTCATCACGCCTAATATTTGTTTATATCATAATTAACTTAAAATAAATACAACAACAACAACCCAGTTAAATCCCACAAAAGTAGGGTTTGGGGAGCGTGTGTGTACGCAGACCTTGCCCCTACTCGAAAGTAGAGATGCTGTTTCCAAAGAGACCCCGGCTCAACGTCGAAAGTTGCATTGTTTGACTAACTGCTACTTCATTAATTAAAGAAGCGCAGCTAGTTTAGAGATCCATTTTGATTTATTCCATCACACCCCAAAGCCGAAAAATGGTGAAATTTTGGCTCCATCGGAGATGATGGAAGGAACATAAATAACATTGATGCGATTAAAAAAAAATAGAATTTAAAAAAATTTATTGAAAGATACAACTGATGAAAAATACAATTACTCATCATTCGGAAGCGGGGGAGCGTAGTTCTACAAATGCTCAACTAAATTTGCACGAAGACTGTGGTGCATTTGTGTGTTATGATGTCTTGCCTGATACGTTTCAAGCGTCATTTTTAGAACTCCGTCATCGTTTGCATTGCTTGGCCATGCGAGGAAGAGGTTGTTCTATATCCTAATGAACTTGTTAATTTTTGTGTTCATATCGCGGTATTGGGAGATGACCGTGTCGAGAGGGCTATAGGGATAGGGCTCCGTGTTCATCAACGCATGGAACTGACAAGTGCCCTTAGCCCAAAAATTCTAAGCGCTTTATGCATTTTCTGATTGTGAAAAAATGAGAAAAAAAGTGTAAGAAAAAAAGAAGAAAAGAAATTCCATAAAAAAATAAATTAAATTACGAAATAAATTAACTTTTTATCAGGTCTTCGAAAATTTTCACCCAAGCTTGGGTCTACGCTTCCTCCTTTGTCGGTATCTAAAGTTTCTTGGGGTTTTTGCTCGTGCCATCTTGGCGTATCGCCTTCCCCTTGTTTTTTGGGAGGTTGCGTTTTGGGAAGAACCTAAACATCATTGTTTTGCGTGAGCAGTGATTTATATATCAAAATGGTGTGCCCTTCTATTGTTGATACATATGTTTGAATCTATGGTTTCTGTCAACCTAAACCACATGTCAAATAATACCCTCAAGGGGCTTTATGAAAAAGGTCATGTTTGACATCAATGTTAGATATTAGTTTTATCGTTTTGAAAATATTATATGATGATCTCTTTTGACGTTAGCATTTCAAAGTAATTTGCACTATTAAATTTTTTATTCAAAATACTAACATCAATAAAAAAAACACGCTACTCTCATGGGGTTACAATTTTTCTTTCTAATTTTCAAAACTTTTCCAAAGTCACTAAAAATTAAAAAAGGATTTGACATGGTGGGTTATCAAAAGGCTAAAAAGCTTGCGTGGAAAGCACTTACATTACCACTATCAGCCAGTCTCAAACTCTCAACTGCCAACCGAGAGAGCATACGCACCTTTTTTTGTCCACTTCTCCAATACGACGCCGCTTCGCAACAGCAAAATATATCCACCCCCCTAAATTTTTAAATCTTCTCTCTCTCTCTCTCTCTCTCTCTCTCTCTCTCTCTCTCTCTCTCTCTCTCTCTAACTTTGCCGCATTTCCTTCACATAAAGTCCAATTTCGCCAAGCAGAAGGAGAGACGATTTCTCGGCCGTTTCCAAACTGCGATTTCGCCGGAATCTCTCTTCGATCTCTCCGTTCTCGGTAAGCTTGCGTCTGATTTCTCAGTTTTTCGGCGTTCATGTTATTGATTGATTGGATCTGGGTGTCCGGTTGTTGCTTTGTGTTCGTAGGAGGGATGGGGAATAGAGTGGATCACGAGTTTGATTACTTGTTTAAGATCGTGTTGATCGGAGACTCTGGAGTCGGGAAATCCAACATTCTCTCCAGGTTTACCAGGAACGAGTTCTGCTTGGAGTCCAAGTCCACTATTGGGGTCGAATTCGCCACTCGGACTCTTCAGGTCTTCTCTCACTCGAACTCTTTTTTTTCTTAAGCTCCTTATGATTGTTCCAGTAGTGTCTTAGGTGTATTATGTGTATTCTATGTTCTGTGGTTATATTTTGATCTGTGAAATATAGATGGAGCTCTGTTTTTGCATATTAGAGTTGTAATTTGATCGTCTCATTTCAACTGTTTAATGGCTCTGTTGTTGATTGTTTTTTCGAAATGCTTGAACGGAAGAATCTGTAACTAGCTTCATGTGATATATGTGATCTTGAAAGTGAATAATAACTGCAGGTCTATCTCACAGACAATGGAAATGCACGGAGAACTAGTAGTTATTTGACTTGTTCCTTATGTTCTTTTGCAAAATAACACCATGACATGAGCAGACATTTATTGGGGATATGTTTGAATTAGCAACATGGATTAAAAAAGCACTTTTCAATTGGAAATCTAATAGCGTCTTTGCCATTGATTAAGTCTCTTGTGGGAATTCGATAGTGCATTGTTTTATACTTCTGTTTATAATTATTTGAAATAACAAATTTCAACCATTTCTTTTTCATTCTTTATTGTTTCTGCTGTGCAATGGTCTTGTTGATAACACAGAACATTCGCTGTATATTGCCTGTTTCTTGTTGGTTGAGTGTGCTTCAACTTTTTTTGCCTCATTCTATGTGATTGATGAATCTCTCTTGTTAATCATGATTCATGCATCTTGTAAAAAAGAAGAAATGTCACTGATATGTGATGTTAATAACTTCTTAGTACTTCTATAGAAGCATGAGTTTATCTTGAGTGGAATGGTCCAATTCTTATATCATTGGTAGTCATGAGGCTCTAATCTTATTGGCACTTGTTTAAAATATTCAATGTGTGTTCCTAATATGATGATAGGTGGAAGGGAAAACAGTGAAGGCTCAAATATGGGATACTGCAGGCCAAGAAAGGTATCGAGCCATCACGAGTGCGTACTACAGAGGAGCCGTAGGAGCTCTCCTTGTTTATGACATAACGAAGAAGCAAACCTTTGATAACGTCCAAAGGTGGCTCCGAGAGCTAAGAGACCATGCAGACTCTAACATAGTCATCATGATGGCCGGCAACAAGTCAGACCTCAACCACCTACGAGCAGTGTCAGAGGAGGATGGTCAAGCCTTGTCTGAAAAGGAGGGGCTCTCATTTCTCGAGACATCAGCTCTGGAAGCATATAATGTAGAAAAGGCTTTTCAGACTATCTTGTTAGAGACCTATCATATAATCAGCAAGAAGGCATTGGCTGCAGAGGAAGCAGCCAAAGCTGTTGCACTTCCTGGTCAGGGTACCGCCATCAATGTTAGCGATCCCTCTGAAAATGCGAAGAGAGGCTGCTGCTCTACCTGAGTGTTTTGAATCAATGGATGAATGATTGTTTGGGTTTGGGCAGATCCTCAGTCCTCCCCTTTTCTTCTCATGGGACAAGAAAGGTTAGTTTGTAGAGTACTTTCCTACTAACTTGTTGCAAAATAGAGCTGGTGGATGTTTATTGTGTAGGTGGTTAGAACAGGATGATCTTCTCCCATGTACGTTTTCATTTCACCTAACTTCTTTTTTGTACTCGGTAATATATAAATGACCAATTGCATAGCTTTTCAATTTTTCTTGCTTGGTGACAGGCGTATTTTTACGTCTAACTGTTTGCAAATATCATCACATTCCCAAAACAATCATGAAACACCTAAGAATCACATAACCATTGTTTAATGAGGTAAATGTTCTATTTGTACGGTTATGTGATGAATATTAAATGTCGTGAGACAAAATTCTCTAACCCTACCAAGCACGTCACTAGGGTCCACCCCCGGCTCAACCGCAACATGGCATGCCAAAACAATCCTCCCTGTAGTGATGGCCCACACATGCAGGTCATGGACATCGTGAACTCCGCGGATGTCTTTCAAACCATTCTTTAGAATGGCAATATCGACTTCACGCGGCACCTTCTCCATCAAGATCCAGACCGCTTCTCTACCAATCTTTATCGTTGTATAAAGGGATATCACTGAGAAGATGAGTGTGCAAGCCAGGTCGACTAGAAACCACTTTGGCTTCCACCACATGATGCCTCCAGCAATCATCACTCCAATGGATTGAATCAAATCACAAATGGTGTGCACGTAAGCCGCATCAACACTCATGTTTGTTGTTTCTCTCTCTCGTGCAGATGAAGAGGTTGAAGGCCTTGGCATCGACCTACTCTCATCTTGATTGAGCACTTGCAGCTCTTGGTTGTGCTCATCATCTAGATTGTGGGTCCGGCGGTGATGGTGGTGGTCGTGGTCGTGATGATGGTGATGACCAAGCACCCAAACTGAGACCAAGTTAATAAGGAAACCAAACGCCGCAGTTGCAAACATGAGTGGCCCATTAACTTCAACGTTTTTTTGGAAAATTCTCTCCACGGCACGGTAGATCAAGACCAGAGAGACGCCCCATATCAAGACCACATTCAAAAGGGAACCTAAGACTTCCCCCCTTTGGAATCCAAAGGAGTGTTCAGGAGTGGTCACCCTTCCCGAAACCCGCAATGAGTAGAGAGATATGGAGAATCCAAATGTGTCAACTAGCAAGTGACTTGCGTCCGTGAACACAGCTAGGCTGTTTGCCAGTATGCCTCCTATAATCTCCACGACCATCGCTAATACGGAAAGGATTAGTATTACCCACAGTTTTTTAGCGGAATGCGTTCTGTTGCTGGATTCCGCGAGATGTCGTTCCGCATTTGAGAAGGAACATATGGAATTGCAAGGAAGCAGGTGGTGAGCCTGTGGGAGTTCATTGTTTCTCATCTCTTGAACATCTTCATGGTGGATCTCCTCCATTTGGTTTGGTTAATCTTGACTCAGTACTCCTGAAAGTTAGTTCATTTGTTAGTTCCGATTAGAAGATTTAACATTAAAAAACAAAGGAAAAAAAAGGCAATGTTGATAAAAAAAGACCCCACATGGAAAACATTTTCAAAATCTCAATGGAAAACAACATTTTCAAGACCCATAATGGAAGACATTTTCACAAAAAAAAAATCTTTCTCAAGAACCAAAAAGTCCATATGCAATGAATCAAAGGTTTCCAAATTGAACACAAGATTAGACAGATGGAGAGAAATTGAAATTATGGATGAGAAATAAACAGAACCTGGGGATAAAGATTGAAACCAGACGGAGGTTTGGTGTCTCACGACGACGGGCTTCCCAAGAATTTATTTGTATTCTCAAAGATTATCTCTGCAGAGCCAATCTTTGCATTTGGTAGAGTTTTAAAGATGGGCAAGAAAATATATACGGAGTATGTAAAATATAGAATCCACATTAACAATAATAGACACACAAAGAATTNGGGGTACTGTGTGACATGTAATGTGTGTGTGTGTAACCAATTTCATGTTTTCCGATGTCTCTTGCTCTACACTGAATTAGTGGAATTGATGTTTGTTTGGTGCTTGTTGTGAGAAAAAAACTGGTTTTTTAAATGTTTATTGGTTTATTGTTGTCTTTGTTGATAGATAGTTTTAAATTTATAAGTTGTTTTTTGAATTATTTTTTAAAAAATGAATAAAAAAGAAACGAGTCATTTTGGTTGATAGATGTTCGTGTTGGCTGGTTTGAGCGGCTGATTGAGTTGACTGCTTTGACCAATAATTGATTATATTGGTTGTTGATAAAAAAATGTTTGGCAAACTTAGCTTCTTCAAAATAGCTTTTATAAATTAAATTTAATTTAATGCAATTTTCACCTATGTAATTATATCGTATAACATGCTTTACAATATAAATTGTTTCTTTTTGCAAATAAAATTTTAAACTATATGTTGATCTAAAGTCATTATGATTTTATTTATGTATGTGTTTTTATCAATCAATAGATAGAATAATATAGTTATACGGAGTATCATATTTTCTTTCAATTTTTTTGATGTAGTTCTTAAATATATATTTTGTTTAAGTCTACACCAAGTTCTCAAAAAAAAAAGTAGTAAAAAAAAGCTCGCAAACCGCTTCATGAATTGTACATGGGGAAGGACTGTCTATTTATTTACTATTAATTTACTTATTAATTCATTTAGTTATTATTTGATTTACTTATTTATTTATCACTTTTTTATTTATATATTGATTTATATATCAATTTTTTTATTTCATTACACAATAAATAATTATTTTTAATTTATTCATAAAAATTTCATAAAATAACAAATAATAAAAAATCTATTTTCCAACAGCCAAACCAAAATGCTGCTCCTGTAGCTTTTTAAAATTTGGGTTTCGGACTCAATCCGCCAACCCTTGCAGCCAACTACTAAACAAAATTAAATGTTTTTGTTTTTCTTTTTTAATACTCCCTCCGTTCCCAATTTGATTACAAATTGCAGGTTACGGAGTAAAATTTCCTACTTTTTGAAATCATTTTATTTAGAAATTGGTATATTAAAAAGATATAAAAATTACATATTACTCCCTCCGTCCTAAAACTTTCTTCTCGGTTTGACTTTTCCCCATTTTTAATTTTTGGCTTTGACTTCAAATTTTACCCTCCTTAAAAAAGATTTTTTGCAAATTTTTTTTTTTGCAATCATTCAAAATATAGAGTTAGAAGATAATTGGTGTAAATACATGAGAGTATTAATGTCATTTGTCATCTTTTTTTTCTAATGGGAAGGTAGTTTTAGGACGGAGAAAAAGGGGAAGTGGGAAGAAAGTTTTAGGACGGAGGGAGTAAAAAACTACGTCAAAAGTTCTACAAAAAAGAGGTGACAAGAATATTTTATTTTATCAAATACTTAATGAAATCGCATAAACAAACAAAAGTTATTGAGAAGAAAGAGAGAAAAAAATTGTAATCTATTTAGGGACGGAGGGAGGAAAATCAGGAACCAAATTTCAGCTATAAGCCTATAACCACACGAGGGTGGGAGGCAGCGAATCACTCGAAGACGAGAGGGAGAGAGAAGGATAGAATGGGAGAATAGATTTGCAGAGAGAGAAAGAACTCCGCCGAATCGGAGCTGCAGCCGCCGCCGCCGCCGCACCATCATCTCATTCTCTCTTTCTCTCTCGCCGTGACGATTATCCCATAATTTTGATTCCCACTCCAAAACCTAGACTCGCATAAGTTGCGGATATAATCGTTTCTTCCTTGTCGCCAACAGCAATAGGATAATACGTAATATCGAGATTTATTTTTTATTGTAGGATTATTTTTTCTGAAACCCTAATTGCGAGAGGTATAGAGGGAGAGAGAGATAGAGAGGAGAGATGGCGCAGAATGGGCAGGGAATAGAGCCCGCTCTTTTGGATGATATAATCAATCGGCTATTGGAGTTCAGAAACGCCAGGACCGTACGGCAGGTTCAACTCTCGGAGAACGAGATCCGCGCTCTCTGTAATGCTTCCAGAGAAATCTTCCTACAGCAGCCCAATCTCTTGGAGCTCGAAGCCCCCATTAAGATCTGCGGTATACCCCCAATAAACCTTTCTGTTAATGCACTATGTTTGTGTTGGTGTTCTTGAATGTGCCATTGTTTTGTTGTTCCTGCTTTGGGTAGAATTATAAAATTGTTATTTATCTGTTCGGTTGCTTTTTAATTAGGTGTTTATTCATATGCCATGTTGTTAATTTCGGGACAAACAACTGTTCTAGCTGGTAAATCTGTGGAAAGTTTTGTTCTTTGGATTGTGGATGTGGACCTTGCCATGAATGTGAGCAACCTATTGGTGCATAACATACAAGCAATCTGTATACCACTAAGGTTGTTGCTTAAGAATAATATGCTCCTTTTCTTTTGGTGTTTGGACGGGGTTTGATAAATTTTTGTGCAAATTCTATTGCATGTGCCTGCATCATTGCTTAGTGCCAATGTGAAGTAGATGGTGCAAACCACTGATTTTGATTTACTTGTTTTGTACTCCTTCCATCCCTAAAAAAAGGTTCCACCTTGAAACTTCCACGGTTCTTAGTAAAGTTAAAATTGTGTGGTTGAGATTCATGAAGAAGAGTGAAATGGTATCACAAAATTCTTTTCTTAGAAGGAAAGTTAAAACCTTTTTTTACAAGCAAACAAAGAGAAGTGGAACCCTTTTTTTTATGGACAGATAGATCAATAAGATAATGTAGAACCTTTTAGCTCGTCAAATGGAGTAGTGTTTAATACTGTAATGCAGTAGATGTTATCTAGGTTGAATGCCTTTTCCATTTAGTCTGTTTCTTTTGGAATGAGGTGAGGATGTATGTTGTCATATTGACGTATGACTTCTATTCCTTTTTTTCTATTGGAGGTGATATTAATTTCTGGGCATTGGTATGCATCTAGTTTGGTTAAACATAGTCAATTGATACAATCATACAATCAACTTGCAGTTCCTTACAATCTTCTTAGGAAAAAATTTAAGTTTTAGAGACTTATCCCTGAATTCGTTAGTAGATGGATAGATGGACGACCGTGATTTAATTGGATCAAAGAGATATTGGCATGTGATTAGCTTTTTTACGGTTTTGGTTTCGGTGTGTATAGAAAAACCAAACAAATCTCGAAATAATTTGTTATTTTTTTCAGTTTTAGGTTAAAAGAAATCTGGTCTGTTTCCGTTTGAACTTTATATTGGCAACTTAAATAAGATTTTTATAAAAGACTTGTTTGAATTTTTGTTTTTCTGATTTATGTTGTTCCATTTCTTTATACAAGCAATCAAACTATAAATTCCCATTAAAATAAGCAATGAAAATGAAGTAGGCCAACAGAGTAATTAAGTAGGGTTTGGAATTAGGATTAGAATAATATTGCGCTTATATATTAGTTACTACGTATATATTAAATAATTGTTATTATTATTTTATTATTTATTTTGAATAAAAAGCATATGAGTATTTTGGTTCCTATGGTTTAAAACCAAACCATCTGATTTCCATTTTATATTACTTATTAGTAAATTGTTTGTTCACATTATCTAAACCAAACAAGAATTCACATTTTCGATTTAGTTTGGTACGGTTTAGATAAACCAAACCATTTTGCAGATAACTTGTGTGTTGTTCTTCTCTAGTTGTCCATTTTGCTTTTAACATGCCTTAACAACTAATCATATTGTTATATCCATTAAATTTTTTGTACATATCAATGATACATTAGGATGGTGGTATGTCACATGTTTTTTAATCATTTTTTCCTAGAAATATTGTTTCCCTTCTATTATTTGTTCATTTGTGTTGTTCTTAGTCCTTTGATCCGTTAATATTTGGGGCAAAGCGTGACTTGTTCATTTTAGTCTATATATTTGCATTCATGATACATCTAAAGTTTTTATTCCTTTTTCTTCTCGCTTGACTCCGTTTCAGGTGACATTCATGGGCAATATAGTGACCTTTTGAGGCTTTTTGAATATGGTGGGTTTCCTCCTGATGCCAATTATTTGTTCTTAGGGGACTATGTAGACCGTGGAAAGCAGAGTTTGGAAACAATATGCCTTCTACTTGCATACAAAATCAAGTACCCTGAGAACTTCTTTCTGTTAAGGGGGAATCACGAGTGTGCTTCAATCAACCGGATATACGGGTTCTATGATGAATGCAAGCGTCGATTTAATGTCAGAATATGGAAAACTTTCACTGAGTGCTTCAACTGTCTCCCAGTAGCTGCTCTCATCGATGATAAAATACTTTGCATGCATGGTGGTCTTTCTCCAGATCTAACAAGTTTAGACCAAATTAGGAACTTACCTCGCCCAACAGATGTTCCAGACTCGGGGTTGCTTTGCGATTTACTTTGGTCAGATCCCAGTAGAGAGATTAAAGGCTGGGGAATGAATGATCGGGGTGTTTCATACACTTTTGGTTCTGATAAGGTAGCAGAATTCTTGATGCAGCATGATATGGACCTTGTTTGCCGTGCACATCAGGTATCTGAGATTGTTTTTCTCTCCCCACTGTCTTTCTCAAATACTTATTAAACTAAATTCTCTCATCTCCAGGTTGTGGAAGATGGATATGAGTTTTTTGCTGATAGGCAGCTCGTAACTATATTTTCTGCTCCCAACTACTGTGGTGAATTTGATAATGCTGGTGCAGTAATGAGTGTTGATGAAAGTCTCATGTGCTCTTTCCAGATTTTAAGGCCAACAGATAGAAGGCCTAGGTTCTTATAAAATTCAAGTTCCTTGGTGCTAGCGTATTCTTATTAGGACCAAAGGTTAGTTTCTTCTTTGGAATTTATAACCTATGCATTTATGTTAAAATTTCTGAATTGAGTGAGGTAGGGACATGGCTTTCAGTCTAATGCAATATAGCGGCTTGCCATTGTCATTTATTAGTGGGAGATCAGTTTCTTTAGGTGAGTATGAGTAAACATTGTGTACTGCATACTTCCAGATCCAGTGGTAGTCTGGCAGAGACTAGAGCCAACCTATAAGGCGATGACAAGTGTATTTTGAAAGGTAATATGTGTGCATGAATACTCATCATAAACACACATGTTATTACTTTTTAGGTTGGCCCTAACACATGAGCGATGAGACAAGTGTTATATAAGTTTTACTCAATTTCATGGTAAATAATTGTAAGATTCTCTAAAAGACTCTGCAATTCTCCATTCATTAAAAGACACAAGAGGTGTTACATGGACTTGAAAATCGGTAGAGGCTTATGCCTCAAATCGAGGGGCATGGTAAAATCACACAAATGAGTGGGTTCACATGCTTTACTTTTAAGTTTTGAACTTCGTAAAAAATGTTTTTCCCAGATATATTAATGTGAAGTAGGAGGACAATGGTGGTGGGTTACAGAGGGAATGTTAGAGGGCGAGTGAGGGAAGACTTTCAGAAGCTCTAGGGCATTGAATACTCTGCTACGACTAAGAAGCGACCCTTTCTGTGATCTGCCACCATGTATCGTCTTCCTCCTATGCATCTTTTTTCTTCCTCTGCATCTCATTCACCAACACTGTCATGCCTTACCTTATGAAAGAAATTGAAATTATGTCCTGTGTCCCCATTCACACTTCCTTAAACACTGAAGGCTTATTGACACCTTTGTCCGAGAACAGAAATGAAAAACTCGACTGGTTTGCCTTTGATAACAAGATCTTAATTTTAAAGCGATAAATATGTGAGTTGAGGAGTTTGCTAACCAGATATTCCTGGCTGTTGGGTCACTGGGTTTAGTGGGCTTTTGCTGTTATCTGAGGTGTGTGTGCACCACAGGGGTGAGTTTGCCTATTTCTGATTGGACCAGTTTTGCCTGTGATCTTATTGACTCGTAAAATCAGTCATATGTTGTGTAGTCACATAGTTGATGCGGTTTTATACTTTTGTACCATGCTGAAAACTACTTCATGGATATGACCCAGGCACTCTTGAGATTCTTTGATAGCGTTTAGCGAAACATCATCTAGAATCTAGGGTGAGTATCAGACCCAGTTGCCTACCATGTCATGCCTTATCCCTGTTCTCCTGTATTTATTTACCTATCTTCTTTTTTCAGCTATTGTATGAATGTGTACATTTTGGGTGGTTGTCTGTTGTGAGTTTTAATAAATGATAAACGGAACACTAAAATTGTTCAGCCAATTTGATTTTTTTAAAAAGATATTCTCTATGCGATAATTAGTAATTTGTAAGTTTTTAATTCATATGATTTATGCGACCTTAAAGATTTAATGACACATCCTTGTAAATTAACTGCAACTGATCTCCATTTCTGCTATCTTCTTTCTTTGCAAGTTTACATGGCCTGGTTGAGGCTAGAAACCATGTTGTAATCTATGAAACTTCTAGCCAAACATTAAAACAACCTCGAATTAATTTCAAATTACTGGCTCGGCTGTATGAACCCATAGAACTATATGCTCCATTAAGTACAAAGTTCTCATTTTCCACTCTTTTCTGATATGAGCAATTTGCTAATTTAAATAAGTCTTGATGCTCTCATGGCTCTTTTTATACCTTCAATAACTTCAATAAATGCTACCTTCTCCATATGGATTTCCAACTTTTTCACTATTATTTGTGGTCATGCCACACCTTCATCTTTTGTATATTAAAATGTTGCATTCATAAATAAAATAAATGCAAAATAAATCATTCTTTTGTTCACAGATGTCTTTAAATGCCGGAAAGGGAGCAGAACCTTCAAGTTCTAGTGTAGTCCTTTTTAAGTTGGCTAGTCAGTATGTGGTTGTTCACCCAACTAGGATAATTGCTTTCTCCTTGAGCTTCATTGGCTCAATATTTGCATATAGACGTAGAGCTGGAGCGTAGTTCTTCAGTCTTCTTTAAAGTCAATGATGAGCTGTTTTGTGTGATAGTTAATATCAATAAAGTAAAAAAGGTTAAGGGCAGATTGTAATGTGTATTTTCACTAGTGCATTAGAGGAAGTGAAGATACAAACCATGGCATGTCCCATTGAGACATGTGCTTATGTGATATCCATTAGGTAACAACTAATGAATACATTGCATTATACATTTATATAGGTCTCCTCAACTTTTAATTCCACTCATCCACCTTCCATTATCTAGATTTTAGTTAACATTATCATTGTATGCTATCCATACAGTCTTTAGATTCCATACTCCAGTGTCCATACTTGAATTTAAAAAAAATGGCGAACAGAACATGCCCGTAATGTAATTAACACTGTTAATTGCTCTCCAAGAACTCTGACCTTGTAATGAATGGCTCTTTTCTGAAGAAACCATCAAATTTCACAGTAAACACCTTCAACTCAGCTAGCTGTAGAACCACTAAAACCACATTGCCAAAGTAGTAGTTTTTTATCTGTACATTTGGTATTACCATAGTAAACGAAAAGGAAGATTGAATGTTTTAGTACTTTTGGGTCTGGTTCCTCATTGTCTTGAGGAAACATACTGTAACTGCATCTATGGTTCGTTTACGTGATTTTCTGCGGGTTAAATGCTAACACATAGGGTTGATTTTCGTGCAGATATGTAACATATTCTGTGGGGAATAAATGGCGGACCGAGTGCGGATGCTGGTTTTTGAAAAGAACAAGCAGTGAATGTGTTGTTGATTGGAGGGATGAGTATACTGTTTTAACTTTTCCAAGTGTTTGTATTTGTGGGGTGGAAATTTTTATGACTCTTAACTGCTGTGTTAGTTTTTTTTGGGTGCCATTGTTCCCCCAAAAACCCAAGAGACTGAGAGAAATAATGACAGATCTAAAGTATAGAAACAGTGTGTTTTTATTGTGGAACTGCTGTCCAGAACAATGTGCCCATACATATAAATAGAGGACTAAACAACACAACCATTACAAATAGACACAACAGTTTCTAACCAACACATCTGTTGGAAACTGTCATAAAACTGCCTGTAACTAGTAACTGCCTGACTGTCTACCTTTTTTTTTACTTATTTATTTTTAAACTTAAACTATATTCTGGACTGGAATTAACCAACATTCACCCCCTTGATTCCAGTCCTCATTCCTGCCAAATCTTCAATGCCCATCAGTTGCCTCATCTCGATAAACTTGACCCTTGGTAATGCTTTAGTCAAGATATCAGGTTTCTGCTCGTCACCACTTACATGCTCAATCCTGACCAGCTCTTTCTCAACATTCACGAATGAAATGATATCGAGTGTCAATATGCTTACTTCTCCCATGGAACACTGGATTCTTCATTAACATGATTGCAGCCTTGTTATCAACGTAAATTGTTATGGGTTCTATGCTTTGACCGGTGATTTCTTCAAGCAAACCTTTTAACCAGACAGCTTGACATGCGGTTGCCGTTGCCGCCATAAACTCAGCCTCACATGAAGATAGTGCAACCGTGTTCTGTTTTTGGCTGCACCATGCTATCGGACCACCCCCATAATAGAAAATCATCCCAGTTGTACTCTTTCCATCTGCCCGATCAGTCGCATGTGAGCTGTCACTATAACCAACCAAATCTGCATCGCCATTCCTCCTATATCGAATCCCATAATTGATTGTACCCTTCAAATATCGCAGCACCTGTTTTACAGCTTGGATATGTGATGTTTTTGGTGACTCATGAATCGACTGGTTATTCCAATTGCATAACTCATATCTGGCCTTGTATGGGTTAGATATCGAAGACAGCCAATAATCCTTCGGTACTCAGTTGCGTCAACAGACTCGAGCTCCTCATCTTTTCCAAGCTTGAGACTTGGATCCATAGGAAATTTTGCAGGATTACACTCCCACAAATTTGCAGTTTTTAGAACCTTTGTTGCATATCCTGTTTGCTTCAAAGTAATGCCAGTTTTGTCTTGA